CTCCATGGGCGCATCATCCGAGTCCGGGAAGTTCAACGGGGAGGACATGCTGGGTTTGTGGAAATCGCGATGTGGACTGTCGATATGTAGAAGGGAATAAAAGGCGAAGGCGCGTCGCGTTCCCGTTCGCGCGGTTGGAATTCGACGTGCTCAACGTTGTGTAAATAAAGTGCATTTTCTGCAAATACAATTACGGAGAACAAAATGAATGGGGTTTACTATACTTTACGGGGGAGTAAGCAAACCGGGGGGGAGTAAGTCACCGAACAATCTAATCTACACTATGAAGCCCAAAAAGTCCATCATCACTGAAGGTAAAGACCAGCTAATCCTCCATCTTAAGCGTACTCCTCGCACCAAATCTTCAACCTGCCCTCTCCAGGCCTGGGTCTCGTTGATCCGGATATCGAGCTTTCGTTATCGTTCATATTGCGTGCCGTCTCAATGGCCAGGTCCCAATCCCCTTCGTCCACTAAGCTGACCTTGGAGCCGTCTTCATCTTCAAACTTGACGCTCAGGGCACCAAACTCGTACGAGAACTTGGCGCATACAGATGCCAAAAAGTCCGTGAGGGGCATGTCGGGCGCGACGACCATCCCACGAACTTCTTTGCCGAAATGAATCTTGATTCGGAGCTTGCGCAGGGGTTGCTCAAAGTCAAAGGCCATGAGGCGAGCGGTATTTTCACGATCGGTCTCGTACGAGCCGCTGCCACCGCTGCTGCTGGTCGCACTGGATTTGCGTTCCGCTTGTCTGGGGCGAGCGGGCGTCGGCTGAGGGGCGATGTTGGCGAGGAGTTTGGCCGCCACTGGACGAGGGGGCACCCTCGATTCAGCTTCAGAGCCTTGCATGTAGCCGTCGTAGATGTCTGTCAACCCTGCTTCTCCGTATCGCGAGGTCGGTGCGCGGGAGAGTTGGGCAGGCGAGTCACTGCGAGGAGGTGTGGGCGGGAGATCAACCTTGGTGATAGCCTTCAACGTAGGCCGCCTTTGTGGGGGAAGACCTCCACCAACAGGACGGGCATCCTGGGGACTTGCATATGGTAAGTTGACTGGACTCTCGGGCCTCGCGGGGACGGGGGCAATGCGGGTCGATTTGTTCCTCGTGAGGTTGAGTGGCTCGGCTGGGATAGCGGGCAAAGGCATGTCCGGCGGAGGGGAAGGTGGACTCTTTCTTGCAGCGGGGACTACCGGGTTTCCGGCACTAGCGCTCCTGCCGAGAGCTGCCTGATTCTGCGGGGCGGTGGGAACGGTGGCAGACCGAGACCTGGCGAGACTGGCTTGGGTGAGGTCATCGTCAAAGGCGATGCGCCTGGTGGTGTTGGATCGAACAATGGTGTTGCTACGCTTAGGGGCGACGAATTCTTCCGATGAGACAGGCGTCGCAGAGATAAGTTTCTGTAAACGGAACGGAATGAGTGCCTGGTTACGGCCAGAATGCGACCCCCAACGTAATAGACGTACAGCCTTTCCCATGTAATCCTTGGTCCCCATGTTGGCGACCTTCTTTTCGTTGGGACGATACAAGACGCCGACGGGCTGCAGGGAACCACCAATTAGCATGAGAGCCTCAGGTCAATCTCGCCCTAGTCGACCCACAATTGAGAAGACGGTGTAGCCATCACCATTTTCTTGGATGGCCTCGTCAATAACGTCGTGATCCGGGATGACCTTGTTTTTTGCGGCTTCCCTTAAGAACTCCATGCCACGGTCGAAGTCGCCGAGGTTGAGGAAGGTGATGCCCCTACAATGCGAAGGTGGAGATCAGCGCCCCATGCTCGGAGAAACAAAACATTAAAGGAATACGAACTGATTGAAAAGAATGGAACAAGAGTAGAGTTGGTACTTGAGGCCGAGCTGCTCGTAGTTGATCGCCTCGTTGCCGCGCATGAATTCCCAAGCCTCCTCAAAGACCTGGAGGGCAGCTTCGAATTGGCCGATGAGGAAGTGGCTGACGCCAGCCTGGAAGTAGGCAATGGCAAGATAGTTGTCAAGTTCGACGGCGGCATTGAAGTTCTCGATCTGGAGCAGGTAGGACGCGCACAAGGCATGGGTCAGAATCCAGCAAAGTCGTCAAAAGGGAGATAATTAGCTTACAGCAAGGTCATGCTCCCCGAGAGACGCGTAGATGAGACCAATGTTGGTGAGGATCTTGGAGTTGTCTGCGATTTTCTAGAAACGAAGCGATTGAGCTGGACTGTCCGACACAACCGGGCGACCGAACGGTTCGTACCGAGAATTGGTCCAGCGAGCTGTCCCAGTCCTGAGCATCGTAGGCTTCCAAAGCAGAAGCCCAGGTTTGGATTTCCTCCTGTGGATGCGAGTCGTTAGCGAGCTGGCCACGAACGGACCATTGCTATGAATGAACGGTACCTTGAGAGATTGAGCCATTGGGAGAGACTGGTGCAATAATTGGAATGTTAAGGATAGTACTGATTTGAGGATACAATTGCCGGAAGTCCTTGAAGTAGATGATTTTGGCGTTGAGCAGGTGTTTTAGTGTAGACTGAGACTGTGAAGCGACGACGAGACGGCGAACAGAAAGAGAAAAAAAAAGAAGTAAAAAAAGAGTGGGCAGCACCAGGCTGTAAAGAATACAAGTCCGGCTTGACGGATTGAAGAAAAAAAAGAAAGCGAAGGAAGGGAAGGGTGGTGAGGGGAGGAGGAGGGAAAAAAAGAGGTACCGAGCGAAGCAGACGGTGGTTTATATATAACACGATATCCGAAAGACAAACTGCGTGGTGCTGTTGGGGCCAAGGCGGACGACCTCAACTACGGGAATGAGATCATGTCGTTGGTTGCCATGGCAGGGCGCCGGCGACAATCGGTCGACGGTCCCTGCCAGCGAAGCACCTGCCCTTTCCGGCGATAACACATGCCTGGAGACCCCGGGACTGCCATTAAGGGATAATTAGACTGTGTGTACGTGCGGTGGCGCTTTTCGTCAAAGCGATTCGCAAGACATGAGGCAAACACCAGGCGCTCCTCAGGAAAAACAGGGGCAAAAGAAAGGCAACCGATACAACCGGACACGTCGGTTTTCACAGAACCGGATACCGGTAACACCGCTCGTACGCCAAGACTATCAGCTGCCGACAGTCATTCTGTCCATCAAACGGAAGGTACGAGATCCATAAAACATGAGGACTGCCTAATCTTGTCTCCTTGGTTCGACCCTTGTTATACTGGCATCTCACTCGCTGTGTTGGCAAGTTCCTTTTCGGTGGGACGAAACAAGACTCCGACGGCCTGAGGGAACAGCCAATTAGTACGAGAATCTAAAATGAACACCCGCACGAGGTGACCTACCATTGAGAGAACGGTATAGCCCTCTCCCTTGTCTTTGATGGCTTGATCAATGATGTTGTGGTCCGAGGTGACCTTGTTCGTCGAGGCTTCCCTTAGCGACTCCATGCCGCTGTCATCCTGGCCAAGGTAAATCTGGGCGAGCCCCCCAAGATACGGAGATGGAAATCAGCGATCTCTGGGGAAGTAGAATACATACTTATTGAAAGAATCTCGCAGCTGTAAAGTCGGTACTTGAGGCCGAGCGCGAGCTTGTCGTAGTTGATCTCGTCCTTGCCCCTCAAGTAAAGTTGGGAATCCTCAAACGAGTGAAACGCAAGATCGTATCGGGCAAGGAGGAACTGGCTGACCCCCATCTGGAAGTAGGCAACGGTGAGATAGTTGTCGTGTTCAACGGCGGCATTGAAGTTCTCGACCTGAAGGGAGAGGGCGCAAAGGCGTGGGTCAGGATCCATCAAAGTAGACAAAAGGGATAACTAGCTTACTGCGGCTTCTCCGACAGTTGCGTAGATAACACCGATGATGGTGAGGATCTTGGAGTTGTTTGCGATTTTCTATAAACGGAGCGGATAAGCCGGACTATCCAGCACTATCGGACGACCACACGGTTCGTACCCAGAAGAGTTCTAAGGACCCCTCAAAATCTTCAGCGTCGTAAGCTTTCAAAGCAGCGAGTTGGATTTCCTCCTGTGGATACGAGTCGACGTCAGTGACCCGAACGGACGGACGGCATGGATACACGGTACCTCCGGAGATGCAATAATCGGAGTGATACAATTGCCGGAGCCTTTGATCTAGTGCGGACAGAAATTGTGAAGCAACGACAAGAAAGCAAAGTGGACAGCACGAGGCAACGTCTGAAGGAATGTAAATGACATTCAAGCCGCACACCCGGGGGGACTACCCGATTTGGTCTCATTGGCTCGACCCTTGTTTTATTGCCATCTCACATTGCCTAAATAGGGTTAGGTTCAAGCCTCGGGAGCAGTACAATTTGCATTTCAAGCAAAAACAACATGGAAACGGTTTTTATGCACTTGTTGTCCGAGCGAAGGACAAGCTTGGTCATCATCACCCGCATTCAGCAATCCCCGATCGCCAGCGCGTCGCCCAACGCATTTCATCACCGCAGCGTTCAAAGCTTATGTGAATCTTCCCCAAACCTGTAACCTGTCAGCAGACCTTGTACTGCTCCCCTCAGGAGATGGTCGTCCGCGCAGTCAACCCCGTTCCTTTCAGCCAATCGCTCGGTCGATTACAAAGTGTCATTGATGATCTGGCACTACTACTGTCGCGTTATAATGCTATCGCCTGCTCAGACAGGTCCTTAAGCAACCGTCACGACCCGGCCTCCAACCAAACAAAGATGTTGACAATGGGCTAGGACCTATGAATGCCTTTTGGCAACGACCTGACATTGGATGCCTGGTACCCCTGGGACCGTACGCTCCGCCCTCTGAGCTATGGCCTGGCGACCTGACCGACATGTCGAGTGAAAGATTCCATATGCTCCGACTCGCCGGCAAGTTCAAGTAATGAGGTAATAGGAAAACGATCCTCGGTGATGTACTGAACCACTGCAAACGTACACCCCAGCAAGGAAGTAATTCGTGAATCGGCTCCAGCGGAACTTGGTCCTTGTTTTAGACGCATCTCATTGTGGCCAAGTAACTCTATAGAAGTTCAAGGCATGTCAGGCTTGTAGCTTAACGGTAAAGCACACACATACTCTCTTGTTGTATGGAGGTTCAAATCCTCCCGAGTCTACTGTAACTTTTGCCTACGGACCCTAGGTCCGCAGCAACAAGGTGCAGATAATGATTGCTGCTAGAGTATATATACATTTATTAAATAAAATATATTTCCCATCGGACTCTACCAGGTTTTCAATAGCCGTATGATAACTTGTATTTAATAATATAGAGCTGTCGGGCTCGTAGCTTAACGGTAAAGCACACACATACTTCCAACACTATTGTTATATGGAGGTTCAAATCCTCCCGAGTCTACTCCAAATTTTTGCCTTCTCCCCATGTCCAGGCAACCAAGTCTCCATGCTGTTGAGATACAGCGGACCACGAGAGAAATCAAATAATTATCTTCCAAAAATAGGAACACGATACATCATTTGAATGAACTATCTATTCATCGTCAGACTCTGCCAGGACAAGCCTCTTCCTTGTCAGACGCGAGGGCACCGAGACTATCTCATCGTTGTCGTCCTCCAAGTCGTGCATATCGGGCGCGGTGCCCTCGGACACTGCCGGCGACGACGTTCGGCCAGGGGACGACGCTGATGCAGCGAGAGCAGAGTCATCTGCTGCGGCGCCCCCTCCATACCTGCGTCGAGGACGCGGACGAGGTCGCTTCGCGGGTCGTTCAGGGGGGCTTCCAGCTGCATCGCCATCCTCGTCATCGTTGTCGAGCATCGGGGAGGAGGGCGGCGTCGAAGCATCTGACGACGCGCCTGTGGTCGCGGATTTCCGGGCCCTGGGACGCGGTCGTGGTCGAGGAATCGGTTTCACAGGCGGCTGATCTTCGCCTTCGTTTCCTTCTGAATCTGAAGCAACAGATGTAGTCCTTGGTGCTGGTTCTGCTTCTTCTCCGCCAACCTCTGCTTCCGTAAAGGTCTTAAACTTCTTGGCAGGACCATCCTTCTCCCTCTTCTTCCTCTTCTTCGTTCCCGTTGCTGCCATGTTGGATGGTGCAGTCTCCCCTGCAGCTGCAGCTGCTTCAGTCTTCCTCCGGAGCTCCCTTTCTCGGCCAAAGAATGCTTCGTCGTCCTCCCGGGCAATTTCAGCGTCACTGTCTTCGATCAAATCCGCAGATTTATATAGTAGCCTCTCCTTTTCCTTCTTCTTCCTCTTGGCGCGGATTCTTGGTTCGTCCGCTTCGCTCCCATCGTCGTCGGTAGGTAGCGCTCCAATGGCTCCGTCGGATCCTTCTTCACCATCTCCTCGACGACTTCGCCTAGTGCTACGGCTCGCTTTAGCCTTGCGTCGTTTCGCGATGAGCTCTGAGGCTTTCTTTCCATCCAGGTCTAGTGGCTCTTTGACATATTGATCGACGACGTCCAATGATATTTGCAGGTCGTCTGGAAGGATCGCTGCCGGAACATACCATTCCAACTCGTCCGCGTCTATACGTCGAGATTTGAGTTAGTTACTCATCGCCAGGGAAAGCTCTCAAGGTTTCCCAGCACCTTCATCAGTAACAAAGAATTTCAGTAGTTTCCACATCAACTTCAAGTGCTGGTTTTTCGTAGCAGCGTCTGCCTTATCCTGGTTGACATATAAGATCACTGCAACGGGATCCCTTGGTTAATAGATTGGCCCTGTGAAGCATGCCTACTCGGGGCTTACTGTAATCCTCGAACTTGGACACCGCAGCGGCAGATGGACCCTTCAATTTGCGCAATTTCTCTTTCAGCTGGGCGTCGGGGTCGTCATCGTTAGGAATTTCTTCAGCAAGGAAATCGTCTGTATCCATGACAATAAGTTGGCGTTGGCCGATGACTCCAATCAAAATCTACTTGATGCAGAAAGATCAGGGAAAGCTCAAGCAGACATGTTACGGCGGCGAACCTCTTTCGTCCAGTCAATCAAGTCCATTTGTCCTGCATCTATCAGGCTAGCAATGGCAATACCAAGCTGTTCGCTCCAAGAACGCTTTCCTTTGATATAGAGCTGCGGACCATGTCGATCCCCCTAGAATAGAGTGGATATTTTGTCGGCGACAAAGTGGGAGCATTTAGAGGATGATAGGCTAAGCTTACCGGTTTATGTACAACCACATCTTCATCAGACGATGCGTCTCCACGAGCGAGGCTCTTGCCTCCAAGGCCCTTACGACTGGCGCGAATAGGGAAGAACGCCTGTAAAAACAATCAGATGAAGCTCGAGCCAACCGGTCAGCCGATCCGGAATTCCACACCTCGATCATCGAGAAAGAATCCTCCTGGACAGCTTTAAAGAATTTCTTAACGACGTATCGCATCAGCTTGCACAAGTCCAAATACGGCGTGTCCTTCGGTAGCGTCTTTTCCGCTTTGAGAATACGGTGGAACAGGTCTAAGGTCGAAACTTTGAAAAATAGGTGTTCCGCTTTGGCATTGACCGCTTGACGGAAAAGAAGACGAACGACCCAATCCATCTTCTCTGGAGAGTCGAACTCCTCGTACCGTTTGAGATACTGGAGCAAGGTTGAATTGACCTCTGGATTTGCGAATCTCTGTTTATGCGCAACATCACTATATGCGGGCGTGCCGGTGATGAATGAAACCCTCACGTGTTCGTATGCATCAAATCGTATAGCCGAATCTCCATATTCCTCCTCTTCTTCAGCCTCTTCCATCTCCTCGTCAGACGCCACGTCGACGATGCCTTCCTCCTCGGTCACGCCTTTTGCTATCATCCCGAAAGTCTACCTGTAAGACCTGTTGTTCGTTCATAACAACCCATGTACACACCCTTTTTCTTCTTCGCTTTCTTCTTTTTCCTGACCACCAACGTATCCCCTTTGCTTTTGGCCCATTTCTGCAGCATCCTCATGAGGACATGCGAGAAATGCACGGATGCCTCCAGGTACGCGATGCTCTTGAGAGCGTTCTGCTGTCTGTAACTGCGTAGATTCTCGAAAGAAAAGTCGACAATCTCGGCGTTGTAGTAAAGCTTTTGCTGCAACACTGAAGCGGTCTCGGCGTACGCCGTATCCGAATTGGCCATCGATTCTATGAGCAAGAGCTGGCACAACAAATGCATCAGCTTTCCGTGCCAGCCTAAACGAAGGGCAGTATGCTTACAAGCTGGGTCAAACAGTTGATGCCAGCCTGCAGTTCCACCCATTGCTTCGGCTATCCGATTCAGGATCAGCGATTGCGGCGTTTCAACAAAAGAGAAATTGAATCCACCTTGTCTTCAGCAGCTTCTCTCATGCGTTTCAGCACCCACTTAACCCATTCCTCTTCGACGACTTCCTTCACCATCGCATAGCCTGTGACATTGCTTTCGGCACCGTTCTTCGACCTAGCCGCGAGGAAGAACTCAAGACACCAAGCAGTTAGGAACAAGAGGCGAACGTTGTCCTTCTCGGTAATCTTAGCACGTTCCATCCGTATGTCTTTGAGGAGGGAGATGACAAAACCTATCAGGAATCCAGTTAGAATCGGTCCCGAGTTTTGATATTGGTTGGGAACGAACGATTGAAGCAAGTCTGGATGAACTTGTGTGCAGTTGTTTGGAGGACTGTCAGAGCGGTCTGACTGAGCCATGACACGCCAGCCAACTCGTCCTGCTTCTTGATGCCTTTGCTCTTCTTTTTCTTTTTCATGTCCATAATGTCGGTGGTGTCGGCTTGAATGGCAGCTTGGCGGTGCATGACGACCTTTTCGTTCCCCTGTATCATAGAAGGCAGGTTAAGCTGAATTCCTCCAGCCGTAGTCGGAAAGAAATAGAGCCTTTACACTTCGAATAGTAATCGTGGTACCGAAACGACTGTGTCGGGTCCCGGCGAACTTGCGCTGTTCCTTTTTAGACGCGTTTTCCTTTTCTAAGAGGCTTTTGAGCTCTTGTTTAGATTGCTATGTATCGCAGGGTCAGGACGTCCTGAAGAAGGTCGAGAATCTCGTTCAGAACGCACCTCAACTTGATCGGCAGGAAGAGTGCCGGGGTTGACGCCACGAAAGAATAAGTAGAAAATTTCCAGCAAGAGGTTGTTCCACGGGTTGAATAAAGGCTGGTCGGCGTTTGAGGCAAAAGTTAGGAATGTGAACAGGACGTTGGACTCTTGCAAGGTGACTATGAGCTTGCTCTGTAGCGATGCAAACTCGGCTTGCTCCCCCGAGGCATATATATTAGGTGGCGGGTCTTTGATGAAAGCGAGATTTCGAAAGCAATGGAGTACCAAGTTGATGATCTGGTTGTCACGTTCCTTTCGTTCCCTAAACAAAATACAAAGTTTATCACATGGTAAGGGTGCAATGAAGAGCCGACACTCACTGTTTTGATTTCGCGAGGGGAGGTACCATGATGTTGAAAAGAGCAGCAATCGCACCAGGTCGAAGCATGGCAGCCTTGTAACTGCGCTGAGCTTCAATGAGGGTCGTGTAGTCGGTCTTGCCGTCGATCTCGTCGTCGAGTTCCTTGAGTTCTTCAGCAACATCGATTGGCCATGTCATAGCGGTAATAAGGTCGGCTGCATTGGAGCGAGGACGTCAGTCGGTGGAGGGCCTAGGAAGGGGCAGAACCCACCGCATGCTAACGCGCATTTGTCCTCAACTTTGCCAGCACCTGCCGTGGCCAGTAAAATCGGTACCAAGTCCCGTTGGAAGACACGAGTTTCGTAGAGGATACGGGCGACTGTCCGCTCGTCGTCAGTGTCATCCTTTCTCCACAATCTTTTGAGATCCTTTAAACAACCCAAACACGAGTCTCCCAGAATATACTGGCTTTCCGTCGGTGATACTTGCTCTAGGCCACCAAGAGCGCTGACTATGTTCTGGATGATGGGAGTGTATTCGGCCCGGATGTCGTATTGAGGTGTTCCCTCCCGTGAATCCGGTTGGAAAGACATCAGGGAACGCGTTGCAGGATGCTTAGAAAGACGCGTTAGAGTGAAGGGAAGACTTGGAGGTCTTTAAGCACCTCCCACGGCGGTGCTGTAGTTGCTTCAGCCGTTGAGCGCGCAGGGAAGAGGAGACTCAGGAGAGGAAGAGCAACGCCTTGGTTCAGATTGTGATGGTACAACGCGATGTCACGGTGTGAGCAACTGTCACGTTCTTCCTCACCTCCCGCCTCCATCCTTCCCCAACTTTGCTTTTAATGCACTGATCGGACGTGATCTATACCCGTCCAGAGCTACCATCCAGAGCTTGTGCAACCCCTCTCGAGCGCTGGTCAGCACCTCTGCCACCTTGCCAAATCAACAGTAGCTCGCTCGCTAGCATTCAGTGCCATGGTGGTCATTCACTTCTACCACATGCACTCTTTGTGTGTCGCCGGTGCATTGCTTA